ACCGCGGCCGGTGGACTGTCCGCCGTGCCGGGGACCGCGGCCGGTGGACTGTCCGCCGAGCCGGGGACCGCGGCCGGTGGACTGTCCGCCGAGCCGGGGACCGCGGCCGGTGGACTGTCCGCCTGCCGGGGACCGCGGCCGGTGGACTGTCCGCCGAGCCGGGGACCGCGGCCGGTGGACTGTCCGCCTGCCGGGCACCGCGGCCGGTGGACTGTCCGTCGTGCCGGGGACCGCGGCCGGTGGACTGTCCGCCGTACCGGGCACCGCGGCCGGTGGACTGTCCGCCGTGCCGGGCACCGCGGCCGGTGACTGTCCGCCGAGCCGGGGACCGCGGCCGTGGACTGTCCGCCGTGCCGGGGACCGCGGCCGGTGACTGTTCGCCATGCCGGGGACCGCGGCCGGTGGACTGTCCGCCGTGCCGGGACCGCGGCGGGTGGACTGTCCGCCGCGCCGGGGACCGCGGCCGGGGACTGTTCGCCATGCCGGGGACCCGCGGCCGGTGGACTGTCCGCCCGCACGGGGACCGCGGCCGGTGGACTGTCCGCCGTGTCGGGGACAGGCGGCCGGGGGGACTGTCCACCGTGCCTGGGGACCGCGGCCGGTGGACTGTTCGCGCGGCCGGTGGACTGTTCGCCGCGCCGGGGACCGCGGCCGGTGGACTGTTCGCCGAGCCGGGGGACCGCGGCCGGCAGACTGTTCGCCCGAGCCGGGACCGCGGCCGGCAGACTGTTCGCCGAGCCGGGGGACCGCGGCCGGCGGACTGTCGCCGAGCCGGGGACCGCGGCCCGATGTGAAACGTGGTCCAGTGAGGCAGTGATCCACAGCTGCAGGCCATTCATTGGCTAGCGGTTTCAGTTTGCATAATATTTCAAAATATTCCGCGGAATTAGTAGTGGGCTGGAGCGTTTCAGAGCGCTCCCTTCGTGGTCCAGTTTCTTAAATGTGTTACTGACTCTTGTGTACTTACGGATGATCAACTGAATGCCTTGAAGCCAGGATATTTCTGCGGAATTTGTTAGTTCTGTAGTCGTTCTTTATAACATTCACGCCGTTGACGTGAAAACAACGGATATTGGGCTATGCCCCATATGTTCAGTTCTATCGGAGAGGTACTTCCTCGCCGGATATGATGTTTGCAGTCGGTCTGTTAATTTAAGCGGCGTGACCTTCCCACCCGCTCCATGTCAGCTCCACTATCGTTGCTTGCTGGACCGCTGTCAACACAATGGCGGAGTACCGGTGAAACCGGCAGCTCCGACGTGCCATTGACAACACGTCCCACTTACACTTGTGAAAGCGTGTTTGTCGCATACAAAGCCGTCGCCTGGGACGGTTGCGGACGCCTGTTCCGGACAGTCGGACAGTACTGACCCCGACGGACAGAACACGCACGGCCAGTCAAAACTGCCCGTTAGGCGGATTGATGTGGGACCGCCGGGCGATTACATAGGAAGGCCTTACGCTCGCGGGCCTCCTTGATATCGCGCGAGATCAACAACATATATATATATATATATATATATATATATATATATATATATATACATACACATATACATACATACATCATATAACGGTCACCCGGTTCCAGGTATATTTTACAGTGCAACCCCTGTTCCGGACTGTATACCATCCTGTGAACAAGGTCATATTCCAAACACGCCGATGCTTCGAACACTTCCCGTGTGCTTGAATTGTAAGTGGCTAATTCGAATGCCACGTAGAGAGGCGCCCGCTGCGGGGCCGACCTCTCGGTCCGGTGTGCTGGCAGCGTCCGGTCCAGTTTTAGTCATGTCGGCGATGGTCGGCGCGTGCTGCCTGTTGCAGCTAATTGATTCACTTGAGCGAATGTTGGGCCCGGTTTTTGACGCGGTCCGGCCCTAATGTTATCGTCTGTGAAGACAATGGAAACGCTGCATTTCCTGGTGGTCGGTCTGAGCGGCGGGGCCCTCTCGAGCCGACGTTCCACGCTCCACGTTGCCTGACGTCACCACAGCCACCTTGCCCAACACGCCCCATGATGCGGCGGCAAACCGAGCTCGGGGCCTTGTCCGGTGTAAGGGCAGATATTCCACGTTCAGTGGTTTCCCAGCGCCGGGTACTGTTTTAAACAGTAGCGCCGGCCCGCGCGATGTGGCGTGGCGTGGGCGAACGGTGGCGGCCTCTATGTCACGCGCTCTACTGAGTCCGGGGAACGACACCGCGGTAGCCCTGGACTCAGGGGAGGGGGAGAGGCTGCGCTGTGGGGATGGCCGGCCGAGAGACGTGGTCACGACAATTGAATCAGTATGCACGCCGACCCGGCCGCTGCAGCCTCCGCTGCCGTTACCATGGCGACACGGTGGGGAGCGGCGGGCTGGCCCGGGCGGCCCGGCCACCGAGCTGGCTCTTCGCGTACGGAGATCACGTGACCGGTGTATAGGTTCCGACACTATTGCTTGAGATGCACCAGTAGCAGTAGGTGTGGTAGTGTGATGGTGGCAGTACGTGCTGGTTTCCGACTGTTTCCATGAGTGCCATTGGGACCTGTGGCCGGACATGGCCAGTTTCTTTCCCGTGGTGTATTGTCAGCATAATGAGCCCGGACTCGACCCCGTGATCGACTTCATCGACCCGCGCGGTCGATTCGTTCGAGACTGGTGCTGACAGTGAAGACAGCAGCACAATGCGGAAGCTGTGGATGCTCCAGTAACGACCGCGCACCATCCAGTAAAGACATCGGTCCGTACAAAGGCTACACGCGTGGAGGGGTGCAACATCTCCCAATTCGTATGCAACGCTTCATTTTGCCACTTGTTTGTTCTTTTTGGTGCAAAATTTAGGCTAAGGTATTGGATTGGCGTGGGTCTACGAAGGCAATAGCGCCAAGGCCCGTCAGTTGGAACAAGTGGGACGAAAGCATAATTAGTGACGACCAACGCTAGCCGCGGACTGTGCATGACTCCGTGCTGCTGTTGACGTCATCCAGAGAGGCCCGTCTTCGTCCAGATTAGTCCACCACTGCGTTCGTCATTTCGTGGCAGTGGTGGTGTGGTGATTCCTACTGGCAAAATTTCCGTCCGTTTGTGTGCTGGCGCTGAGTGGGTGGCTCATGGAACCGGGCTGATCTATACCAAGGACTTTCAACCTTTAAGAGCTGTTTCGGGTGGCTTGGTCCTTTTATTAATGTGCTGTCTGTTGCGTGACTCGATCGTTCGGCATGTGATGTGATAACAATGAGACCCAGTCGTCTGCTAGACGGTGCCGCCGGCTGCCGCTGCGTAACTCCGTGAACCTCTCGCTTCCAGAGACAACTACTTCCGCAGTGGAGAGGGATTTCTGGTGGCGTTCTCCATCACAGAGGACGAGAGCTTCCAGGCGACGCAAGAATTCAGGTACGGCGCTTGCATACCGGTACGAATTCACCGTTTCAACGTCCTCCACGGCGCATTCGTCCCAGCATGACGCCTGGGGCTATGCACGTGCCCGTGCGCAGCGTCAGCTTCACGTCGCCATGTCTGCGACGAATCATAGCACGCCTGTCCGCCCGGCGCGTGTGTAGGCGACGCCGCTGTGGTGTCACCCCGCCACCATGGCCGTCCCCGGACGCTGCTGAGGTTTGCGTGTCCGCCACCAGGGAGCAGATCCTGAGGGTCAAGGACGACGAAACCATCCCGCTGCTGCTGGTGGGCAACAAGTGCGACCTGGAGGAGCGACGGCGCGTCTCGCACGCCGAGGCCGGCGCGCGTGCCGCCCAGTGGAACGTGCCCTACGTGGAGACGTCGGCCAAGACCCGGCAGAACGTGGACAAGGTGAGCGGGGGGAGCGGTGGAACCGTGACAGGGCCGCCTGGGTCGCGCCAGAACCCGGACAAAGGGGGGAGCCCGCATCCAGCACGAAGTACACGTTATGAGCCGGGGCGCGGGGCGGCGTCTGTCGTGTGTAGTGTGAGCCGGGGCGCGGGGCGGCGTCTGTCGTGTGCAGTGTGAGCCGGGGCGCGGGGCGGCGTCTGTCGTGTGCAGTGTGAGCCGGGGGGCGCGACGCGTACAGTATTAGCCGGAGCGCGCGGCGTGCACAGTATGAGCCGGGGCGCGCGGCGGCGTCGGGCATGTGCAGTGTGAACCAGAGAGTCTGACGGCGGCGTCGGTCATGTACAGTGTGAGCCGGAGTGGTATGAGTCGGTCGTGTGCAGTGAGAGCCGGGACACGCGGCAACGTCTGTCGTGTACAGTATGGGCCAGAGCGCCTGACGGCGTGGGGCGTGTACAGTATGAGCCGGAGTGGTATGAGTCGATTGTGTACCGTATGAGCCAGAGCGGTATGAGTCGGTTGTGTACCGTATGAGCCGGGACACGCGGCGGCGTCGGGCGTGTACAGCATGAGCCGGAGCGCGTGGCGGCGTAACCGTGGAGTCCCCGCCTAGGCGGGGTCCGCCGTTGATACCAGACGGGCGACCTGGTCCCAGCGGCCGCCCTGACGCCCGGGCGACGCCCACCGCTGACGTGTGATCGGGTGTCGGCGGCCCGGGCGGCCCGTCCCGATCGGTTAACACGGGCGGAGCGGACGGGTCGGCGGGCGTCGCGGTCGGCCCCGTCCGGGTAGGGCTTCTTAGCCCGACAGGCCGGCCGCCGTGTGCGCCATAGCAAGATACACTCGGGCCACGACCGTGCGTCACGTCACCCCCCTCCCTCGCCGTCCTTCCCACAACCATTTTATATGGAGTTGAGGTATCAACAGTCCATGGGAGTGTGTGTGTGTGGGGGGGGGGGGGGGATTTTGTTCCCAGTAAACGTTGAACGTTAGACCCCTGGTGTTGCCGTGCGAGTTTATGCTGCTGGCGTGTGGTGGTTGTCCAGACTTGAGTCCATGGGAGTGAGGGGATGTTGTTCCCAGTATGCGTTGAACGTTAGACCCCCGGTGTTGCCGCGCGAGTTAATGCTGCTGGCGTGTGGTGGTTGTCCAGACTTGAGTCCATGGGAGTGAGGGGGATGTTGTTCCCAGTAAGCGTTGAACATTAGACCCCTGGTGTTGCCGTGCGAGTTTATGCTGCTGGCGTGTGGTGGTTGTCCAGACTTGAGTCCATGGGAGTGAGGGGGATGTTGTTCCCAGTAAACGTTGAACGTTAGACCCCTGATGTTGCCGCGCGAGTTAATGCTGCTGGCGTGTGGTGGTTGTCCAGACTTGAGTCCATGGGAGTGAGGGGGATGTTGTTCCCAGTAAGCGTTGAACATTAGAACCCTGGTGTTGCCGTGCGAGTTTATGCTGCTGGCGTGTGGTGGACGTCCAAACCTGCTCCGGCCGAGCCCGGCTCTGGTCCGGACTAGGTTGTTGACATGCAATGGAACGAAGTCATACGCAGCTGTTTGATAAAGTCTAAGATGTGTTCTGCTGCGGTGAATTTGTGACTATGAAGGGGGTTCCACATTTGTATGGGGTTTTGAGCTGGAAGACCCATATTGAAGATCATTTAGTGCAGTTCACAGCCCTGCCCTTCTTAAGACCTAAACCTCTGGTTTCTGAGCTACACTCCCGCGAAGACGTGCTGGGAGACTATTTCAAGGTCATCCGGGCAGCCATGACGCCATGATAACGTCATTCGCATCCTGCTATTCTATGAGCCATGCGGTGACCAAGGCCGATGGAGATATAATTGTCGGATCATACATACCTGGCGTTCGTGAGCATAATTGCCAGGTGTAGTGGCCGTCAATTGGCTCTCAATCAATGTTGTGCAAAGTGTGATGACGTAATCAAACAATGACGTATGGTGGAAGATATTTGCTAAACATAACAATTATGTTGTCCAGAGCGTTTTTTTCCCTTAAAAGTATACCAATAGCTAAAGGTGAGCTTGTTTCGTTACATCTCATGTTTGCTTCAGTATCTGCAAGTGTGGAATATTGCTGTTAACTTTTATGCGCGCAAAATTATCGCGCCCGCATAAGTTATGTAGAAGTTTGGAATTGTGATTGAAGTGCAAATTTTGCGTAAATGTATCGCTGTTAACGTGTAAGTATGAAACGTTATGTGATCTTTGTTTTACTGCGTCCTGGAAAACCCAGTACGGATGTAAAATGCAGGGTGCCGCAAGAGAAACAGGATTATGGTATCCGACTATTTGTACTGTATTGCAGGCATGGGCTATGCGGCGATAGACGTCTTCATTCTATTCGTAATGAATCTGCTGGGGTTGTGATAAATAAACACCTCACATTTTCTGACAGTGCGGCTTCTATTTCAGTGTTTCTTCGACTTGATGCGGAAGATTTCAGCGAGGAAGGCGGAACACAACAAGGCCAGTCACGTGGAGGTGAAGGAACCGACCAAGTGCTGCCGGTTGTTGTAGTGGGCGCCGCCCCCGCCCGTGAAGAGCGAGCCGCACCACCGGTGCGATGGACCGCTGGCGTACTGTCCGAGGACCGAGCAGGCGCCGAAAGTCCCGCGACCGCGAGATTACCCCGCTAGAAATACAGCTAGAGCGAGTGTCACCCGGCCCGTGGAAGCGCGCCTTCGCCCGGCTCTGCTTGACTGTGTGGGCTCGGGCCGCTCGCGGCCCGGGAGTGACCGGAGCACCGACGAGGCGCCAACCCACCGTACTCCCGTGGCCTGTCCGGCGCTGGGCGGCGCGCTGCTGGGGTGTTGCGCATGCGCGATGACCTCTCCGGGTCCCGGTCGCCTCCTCCGACCGCTTCCCAGGCTGTCTGCTGGCGCCGGGGGCGGCCGCCTCCTGGCTACACCGAGACACCGATGGTGTTCAGCTACACGTGTGTTCCCTGCCCGCCGCTGCCGCTGCTGCTGGCGCCACGGCGGCGCCACCTGCCTCGCCTGCTGTGCCGAGTTCCCGCAGCGCCCGCTATCGCGTTTTGAGTGTGCACTCTTGCCGTGCGATGCGCTTGGTAAGATTGCGTAGCGAGTGATTATTTTCGTACGGGATACCGGGCGGCCGGCGTTCTGTGCCGACTCGCCACGGATAGTATTGAGTTGCCTGTGGGCTCCGAGCCGTTTTGTACCAGCCTGCTCTGTTGCCGCTGCATCCCTTCTGATAATTTAGTGGCGGCTGCGGCCCGGAGTGGTGCTCGTCTGCGCCGCTGACCCGGGCCAGTGCGCGCGCGCAGCATGACGCCGTTTTGTGCGGACTGACTAGCCGCTTGTTCGGCTCGCTCGTGCCGCGTGTCTTGCGGAGAAAGCTATTCCGTGTATTTGTGATCGCAGGGCAACCGATATATATATACAAGGTGACCTTTGGTCCCGTCCTTTGCACCAGAGTGGCGGCCGCGTTGGCGTCGGACCCGCGAGCTCGCGGTGTTGAACTAGGTCGCCGGCGCAGCAGAAAACATACGTGATTGCTCGGCGAGCTGATGGGACGCACGCTGAATCGAAACAAGTGGAAGGTCCGGTGCAAGAGCTGACCAGGGTGCGTCGGATTGACGACATGGTTTGAGGTTAGGATGTATTACGTGAAGCCGTCACTACGAACGCAGCTGATATCAGCACGAGCAGAGGCTTTACCCGGATGACAGGCCCTTCGCGGTGCAACAACACATGCCTCGGCTCGCCTCCACCGGCGTGACTGTCACCGCGACGGCAAGATCCCGACAACACTCACTGACTAGCATTCGATTGGTGCCATCCGGGCCGGCGCAGCGTGCGTTATCTGGGCAATCGCGGCGCAGCGAACAAACTACACATGCAAGCAGACACCAAGAAAACCGGTCGGTCGGCCCCGGGACCCCTACCTCGGACTCGGCCGGCATGGCGCAAGCTACATATGCTGCGCTTGGGCCCGATCCCCCGCCGCGCACCCCGTGGGTTTCCAGCCCGGAAATGTCCACGCTGTGGGACGAACGTATCCAGCAAGCCACCGTTGTCACAAGAGCGTTTGACCATGAGTCCGGCTGGTGAGGGCGTGTCGGTCAGGTATCACTACCGAGCCCCTTCCCAACACTGCTCCCACCCCACCCCCACGCCCCAGATGTGCCATAGCAGGGGATTGCCCGGCGGAGGGCGGTCGTCTTCCTCTTCCGCAGCCGGGAGCACGTCTTCCCGGGTCCGGGCCGCTCACGTCGGCCACGACCCTTCCGAACGCTCATCTGGACAGCCTGCGCAGCGCGGCGTGCACCTGCGGCTCGCCAGCCGTTGGCAGCAGCTGTCGCAGCACGCCGCACAGCAGCTGGTCGACGATGCCGGGCACCTGGCGCTCGGCCGTCTCGAAGGCGACTCGCAGCTCCTCGATGGTCTCTATGCACTCGGACGGCGGCGCAGCGTCCCCCTGCGCCTGGCTCTTCCGACGGCGCCGCTGCAGCTGCGGTGGGCCAGACCCGTCAGATTGGGGATCTGCAGGCTGGTATGGGCCAGAGCGAGACGTTTCGGCCCAAGCGAGTCAAACCGGTGCACATTAAGCCGCGTTTTCAGACTGGGGCCGTGAGACTGAGATCCCGGCTGGACTGATGTCCCTCAGACTGGGGCCCGCTAGAGTAGAATACCTCAGATTGGGGCTCTCAGAGTGGGGTCCCTCAGACTGGAGCCCGCCAGAGTGAAGCCCGGCAGACTGGGGCCTGACATACTGAGGTTCTTCGGGCCCATGACTGGCAACGGAGACATTACAGACGACGCTCGTCGGACGGAGACTCAGGTACCGATGGCAGCTCACAGGATGCAGCTCGGGCTCGTCTTGAACAAGCACGAATATCCTCGATCGGTTCAGTTTCTGACTGCGCGAAAACGTTAACTAGAACGCTCCTCAGATTGGCGCATTCAGCAGGAGGGAACCCAGTGCGTCTAACCAGCAGCGCCCTTCGGACCACGCTACCGCGTGCGGTCGGCGACGGCACCGACCTCAGCCAGCAGCGGGTAGATGGAGCGGCTGAGGGTTTGATTGCCGCTACCGCCAAAGGGCCAGACGTCTAGGCTGGAGGAGCTGCTGGCAAAAACTGCTGCCGATCCGTTCAAGTCCCTCGTTGGGCTGCCAGGTTCTGTGCTGAGGTGCCGTGTGGGAGTGCTTGTGTCCGCGGTGGAGGGCGTTGGAGCGACGCTGGCAGGAACTGGCGGCGGCGGCTCCAATGGCCTTGGCTGTTGACAGAAAAAAACACACGGACGTCCAAGATCATGACGTTGACACTCTTTCCGGTTCGTGTCTGCCGATCAAACACTGCCATTGCTGGACCAGAGCCGACCGATCGAGGCTCTCAGTGACAGCACGTCGGAGCCGGGGCTGCCAGAGGACCTAGTCGGCGCGTCTCACTTACATCGCTGGCTGTGGACTGCGCATCGACTGTTCGTGAAAAACGCCTAGGGCTGCTCACCCTCATTGACAGGTCAACGCCTGCTCACGGGCTGGCTGCAGACAGCCAGTCCTGCCTCTGTGACCATCTGCAAAGCCGTATATGCTGTGGGTAGGTGTCTGCAGACCGCGTGTGAACCGAGCTCGCTCCTCGCTGTTCTGAGGGTTGGGCACTACCTGTAGGCCTGAAGGTGGACAGACCGCGCTGTGCGACTGTCTGCGCTTCCTCTCGGCCGCCAGCTGCTCCGCCAGGCCGCCAATCTGAGAGTCTCCTGGTGGCGTGCCAGGCTGCCTGAGGTCCGCCACCTACCGGCCGGTCAGAGTCTCTGGTGTTCCCCACGACCGCCACGAGAAAATGTCGCTGACAGCACGGTGCATGCGTCTACTCGCGTGCGGGCGCACTGCGCTTACGGCCAAAAATCGGACCGAAAAGAACAAACCATGCTCAAAAGCTTCCTTGTAATTTGTGACACGAAGGCACATTTACAAATGAGCGAAAGGGGCACGGCAGCATCGTGAAACTAACGCCTAACTAACTTCTAACTTGCTGTTAACCAAGACTAGCTTCCTGCACACGGCTTGAGCAGATATGTGTTTGGTGCAGTGCGCCTAACCTGTGCGATTAGCGGCGGCGGCGCCTGACTGTTGCCGTGGTTCTGCAGGTCCACATTCGGCGCCTGCGGACAGTCGTCATCGTGGATTCGGGCTTGACGCCGCTTGGGCGGTCCGCGCACCGAGTGAATCCACTCCGACTCGTCCAGCTCCAGGTCAACGTCCACCGAGTCACTGGAGAGCCAACAAAGCGACCAAACTGAAGCACGACGAATCATGTCAAAAGCGGCTCATACTGTATGCACCTCTTCGTGCAAGTGGCCAAACGTTTTGGAAGGATAGCTGCCGCATCACAATGATGACGAAGCCTTTATTGACGTGGAAGCCCTGGTCCGATCATACGAGCAGAGCAATCCAAGCTCAACAGCTTCGTTTGCCGAAAAACAACTCACGTGGTGCCGCAATGCCAGGACACGCCGCTCCCCCTCCCGCGTTAGCTTAAATTCCAGGCCAGCTGACAACGTGCCGTCAAAGCTGAGCCCCCAAAGAGCGGTTCCTGGGGCACTCTCGCATGTCCACCACTCGCTTGTTAGGACATCTGGCGCCCCGCCAGTGAGGCTGTGGCGATAGATACAGAACAACTGTGTATGTGCACTGGTGACGATTTTACAGTCGTTACAGCTCTGTAGTGCGTGCAGTGCAAGGTGCAGATGCCTGAAAAACTGTCCGAGGAAGTCCTCATATCTAGCTTTCCAGCCCTCTGAACACTTGTCAGTACTCCTTTTTATTTGACAAAGAGTGGGGAGGAGGAAAACCCATATTTCCTCAGATACTTAAACTCTTCGCATGTGCGTTCGCAATTTCGCTCTTCGCCGTATACTCAATGATTCAGCTGTCATGGGCACTCAACAATTTCCTCGGGCACACTCATACACAGTGGACACTCACATCCCGCGGACACTCGCATTCCGGGACATCCGTGCCCGGCGGACACTCACGCGTCCGTCTCGCCATCGCTGTCCGAGTCCTCCTGCGTCAGCTGCCACTTCTTGTAGTGGTCCACAAGCTCTATCAGACGCACCGTCTGCCGAGCCTTACGGACGAACGGCAAATGCAGCAGTTCCTTGGCGGTTGGGCGCTGCGAAAGGGCGCCGCAACAACAGCATGAGAAACGGCAGACGATAATGAGCCAGACTGTATCACATCAATTAGCTCAGCATCTACTGAGCTTTGGATAAAGAGTACTTAAATATGGAAGGGTTTGATACTGCTTCGGCTCTATCAAGCCATTTCGAGAACAGTTCTGATTGCATTCAACTATCTTTGCTCTCGAATACAAAATGATATGATGCCTTTCTCGATTACGTCAGCGCAGGCATGAGCGTCAGTGAGTGGAAAGGGAGCACAGGAGCACAAAGCACGGTGCACTCAGCAGGAGGCACGCGCGTGCTCACATCGTCGGGGTCCTTATTGAGACAAGTCTCGACGAAGTCCTTGAATGGCCGACTGAAGTCACCATCCAGCCGCGGCGCGTTATTCTTGGGGATGAGGAAGAGCACCCTCATCGGGTGAAGGTCCGAGTATGGCGGCTGACCCTTGGCCAGCTCGATAGCGGTGATGCCCAGGGACCAGATGTCCGCCTGTTCACATCAGGGCACAGTGTCAGCGCTGTGCGGCAGCACGCCGATCTGGCCGCGGCGTCAGTGGTGTCGTTCGGTATTGTAAGCATTCGTCACTGCACGCTACTCGACATAAGACGCTGGCGGATACGTCCGTAAGTCCTGGCTGAGGGCGGGGGGGGGGGGGGGGCGTTCGTTACAACTCTGCGTGAGAACATATTCCAGTTTCACGAGAATTGTTGATGTCAGTGGTTGGAGGAATGTCAGCTTAAGAGACACCAAATTATCAGGTTTCTTTGAATATCTTAAGGGATTTCATCAGCACCTCTGAGTAGCACTACTCACGTTGGCATCTGACACCTGCCACAGCGTCCACTCCTCGCCTATTCTAACAGCCTTTGCGAGCGCTTCGCAGCCGCCAGATAGCCTAGCTGAGGACCGAGGAGCAGGGGAGGTCGGCCAGCCCGCCTGTAGAGGCGGCGGCCCAGAGGCGGCGGTCAGGAGGTGGCGGCCCAGAGGCGACGACCCAGAGGTGGCAGCCCAGAGGCGACGACCCAGAGACGGCGGCCCAGGGGCGGCGACCCACCTTGGAGTCGTAGGCGCTCTGTTGGACAACCTCGGGCGCCATCCAGAACGGCGTGCCGACGAACGTCTGACGCTTCGGCGCGTCCGAGCTGAGCTGGCCGGCCACGCCAAAGTCGGCCAGCTTGACGTCTCCCTGCTCCGAGAGCAGGATGTTGGCCGCTGCCGGACGGCAGGTGGCGTGGTTGGTAAAGCAATATGCTTGAGATCACAAGACTCAAGAGCAGATGTTGCGAAACGCGTGACAGCTGAGCATCCCTTCCACGGTGACCGGAATTTTTCTTTTAAAAAGAGTTTGGTACCCAACCTGGACTTTTCTTGCTAAAAGCACGTTAGTAACGCACACTGTACGGCAGAGGTTCCATTTTTGGCACCCCTGCGGAACAGTCGCCGTCCGATATGGTGTACACTGTCCCGAAAATGCTTCTCAACCAAATGACATGCAAGAGGGGGGGGGGGGGGATCTAACGGGGATTACGGGCCCGCACGACCGTCTGAAAACATCACAAGGTCATCACTTCACGACCCCGCTCATACTGATCGATGTGTAAAAGTGGAAGTCCCAGGACTGATGCATACGCCAGACACTGATAAGTGCAAGGTGAGCTGTCCTTGGTTGCCAGGTACACTTAACGAGCGGTGCCCAGATTCGATGACGCCCGCCAGGCCCAATCATCTACAAAGGAGCAACGGTGCGTGCGAACATGGATTCACGCCCTTAAAGCTATCTGCCATACGATACCTTACAACGAGCCGAGTTAGTAGAATTTATGCAAGAGTATGCTCTCACGACCATGCAAGGGGAAACATTTTGGGTATTTTATTCTAACCATGCACTGCATTGCGAAAGGGCCTAGCTGTATGCAATAGCGTATCGGCACAACACCCTGACGAGGACTGGCGAACCCTAGGGAACACCACATCGGCGTGAATTTGTCAAAGCCGCATCCTGGGTCACAATGTAAAAACGCAGCCCTATTTACCGACTCTAGGGTATGCCACGCACAGGCGTACTTCTTGCAATTGAGAAAGGCCTGCAGTGGTCAGTGGCCTGACCGAAACCGTGAGTCCGTAGCTGTACCTATGATGCGAAGTTTGCGACGCTTTCTGTTTACCCCTATGCTTCCGGCTGATCGCGAGCCGGCCGTCATTGGTTTTTCCCTGCCGCTGCGGGTACCGCACCAAGCGCGGAAACAAAAGTAATGTACCATTGGTACTGTCGGTCATGGGTGCGATCTCACATTGGCTGAAGGGAGCCGGGCTGCAGATAGAGCCACACGGCTAAACGGAGCCAGGCTGCAGATTCAGTCGAATGTTTATTGCGACAGTAGGTGACAGCTATTCCCAGCTCGAGTGTCAGGAACAGCAAAGGCTTACGCCATTACCCGATGCGCCAGAGTGATCTACATCCACCGAGTGCTCAACGCTAGCTTTGCGACGCCGCCGTGTTGATGTAGCTTACAGCACAGAACACCGTCGAAGGCATCCGCCGCACCCAGAGTGGACGCCGCACAAAATCAACAACGGTGCGGTCAGGGTTCAAGAAAGCTTTATGTCTGGGTGCTGCCTTTATCGGTCATGAGTTGGGAAACTGACGTTGCGTTAGGCGCAATGACTAATATTTCGGCTGGCAATAAATAAAGCGGGTCAAGATATGCCTCATTATTGCTGGAAACGCTGAACGCGACACAGTGCATGCTGAGACCATTTTCATCGGCATGGACTCCGTATGTCATCGGCAGTCATGCGAACAGAGTGCCAATAACATGCAAGGTGCGCTGGTCGTGCATTCCCCTTCATGATTGGGAAAGCCAGATGGACCACCCAGGACCATGGGCACCACGTCAACATTGCTTGTTATCGGCGCTAATGAAAAGGATTGTGATAAGCTGGTTGTCCACAGCACTTTGATACTAGAGCCGGCGCAGATAGAAATCACAGACCGAATGATAGACATGTGGATTCTGGATAGTCTTGGCAATGCATACAATGCCAGGACCAAGACAATGCATACAACGGATAGGACGGTATCACGTCAATGATATGGATATGATAGGTGTGGAACTTACTAGAACAGAGATTGAGAGAGAGAGGGAGAGGGGGGGGGGGACGACAAAAACGGAAGATAAACTAGAGCGACGAAACGATGAACTCCATAAAGGCATCGTTTTCGTTCAGATGAACAACTTGCATGAAATGTTGTTAAGTGCAAACGTGCAAAAACGCATACAGGCGCTTATCCCCAGTAGCGATATCAAAACACACATTTTAGCAAGTTTAGGCGTTCATGCTGAGCGTAGCATTGTGTGAGTCGGATGCTTTTTGTAATGACGCAGATATGCGAACCCATCGACGGAATGCTCCATGCGAGCAAGGGCGAAGTTCGAGCCACTTCTGACACCAGCTGGCCGGCCATTCTGTAGCTCACCGTCCCGGACGTTCAGTGACGTTTTTGACGGGCTTGTCATCACACTCAGTCATCGTATTGCCGCAAATTCTCAGCAGCAAGTAAGCAGCACGACTTTTTACAAGTTAGCTGAAGTATCTTAAGGGCACTTTTTATATAGGCTGCTTGGTGAATATTTGTATTTCCGCCTTTCTGTCACTATGCTGTATCACCACCATTTTAAATCACTCTTCCGTTTTACCATCATGGAGAATATTTTTTAAAACATGTCCAGATCACGAGCACCGAACATCGCAGAAATATAAAATTAAGCGTTGCGGACAGAGGAGAAAATGAGCGATAGTAGGTCCTGACAAAAGCGAGGGCAAATTATTTGCTATATAGCCTCGGGGCAAATAGCGCAAATTGTTACGCGTTCGTCTTCAAACAGCAGATGCACCCGTTTCGGGTCGAGGCATATGATCTTACTATTGATCGACGCATGCGAACGTACCAGCTATGAATCATTAAGACGCGCTCGGGTGTGTGGAGAGCCAATTTGACACCTTCCAAAGGTAAAAGATGCAACACACGACTGTTGTGGTGTCAAGACGCAACATTTTGTGTGAATGTAGGCGATTAAACAGTCGGTATTTTGGTAAAAGCAAAGCATATAAACCTCTTAAGGCCGCCGACTGGTAGCGGATCAAAGCTCGACCAGGATTTTGTGCGAGGACACTTCTGGGGAATTTTGAACTGGATGAGTTAGCAGGGTGTTAGAAGATGCTACACAATATTGAAATAAATTTTTCGGCAGTTAGATATTTTGCATTGAAATTTCTATCCATTCTGTTGGATATGGGCGTCCTATGGGGATCAGATACACGTCAAATCCGACACAATTTTCCTGGAAACATACCATATTGGGTAGTTTTTGCACGCTCATTCTAGATTCCTTGATCACGAAGACGTCATCAGACTTATTACTTTGCCTTTTATGAAGGTTAGAAAAGTCACTGACCGAAAATAGCAGCGATCAGCCTTTTGGTCATGAGGAACATGTTGTCTAGAGGAACTCTTAACGCTGATTTATATATATCTATCTATATATATATATATGTGTGTAGTATGTATGTATGTATGCATATATATATATATATATATTTATGCATACATACATACATATATATATATATATATATATATATATATATATATATATATATATATATATATGTATATATTTATTGAGGAATTTTGGTTGTTCTACACTTATAAATGTCAGATAAGGTCACAAACCTCGCATGAACTCAAGTGACCTTTTATTAAGATAAAGTATCTAGATTAAAGCTGGTTGCGTGAGAAAGTCTGCATGTCTGATTGATCCGTCCCCATCCGATCGCATCACATTTAACCGACCACTCGGACTCGTGTTAAGCGAGATCAAAAGTGTTCACCCCATAAATAGGTGTACCAATAGATCGAAGAATGGCATCTGCATGGACACATAGTCTATCGGCTGCCTCTTTACACCCAAAATGTCAGCAACTTTTCCAATATTTTTGTCACAGTAAACAAAAGTGTCCATCCATTGTTACCATACCACGCCACAAAAAAAAACATTTTACGGATACTTTGTACATCTTAACCATGTTTTCGGTTACGGTTCCATTCATAGGGCATCTAGCCGTTCTGATCTTGCGATGCGTGACTCGCACATCGAATGCGCATCCCACTGGCCTAGTCACCCATGCACCGCGAAGAGCGAGGCTCGAATCCAAATGTACGAAACCCACCAAGCATGCCGTTTCCCGTACTCGCTGCCCACCTTTGATATCACGGTGCAGCACCCGTTCTGAGTGGAGGTAGTCGAGGCCTTTCAGGACCTCGCGCAGGATGATGGCGATGTACATCTCCTCGAACACGCCCGGCTTCATCAGGTCGTGCGCCGAGCCGCCGCCCAGGTACTCCATGATGATCCACAAGCTCGTACCCTGCACACGGCGAGCCGGCCAGATATTAAGTGGTGCAAAAGAGGAAGTGGTGAAGGACCGGCCGACAAAATGGCAGGCCACCCGTGTGGATTTCACCCGCAGAACTTCGACAGAATCTGGATTGGTGACGCGAAAGCCTGAATCAGCGGCCCTAATCCCAATATCGTTCGCTGTAATGTTCGAATTAACAGTGCAACCATTCGCTTAAATACAGCGTGCGCAACCATTTACAGTCACAGACACGGCCTCATAACTGCAGTTGCGCCCCAAGAGCCCACCTTGATGTAGGAATGGAAGTACTTGGTGACGTAGGGCGAGTCACACTGGGACAGAATGGTGATCTCCTGCTGGATATCCTCGATCTCGTTCTCGGCGTCCTCCAGGTCCATGATCTTGATGGCCACCACCTGTCGCCGGGCGGCTGCCGTAAGTAGCGGCTGTCCATCTCGGCTTGCGATCAGCTAATAGTGCTGACGCGTCGATCCTTTCGTGGCAGAAGTGTGATCTAGCAACTCCATGCCATGCCATATTGTTGCGTGGAAAACGGTGTATTTGTAATACGTTCTGGTACATTTTGCGTGGCTACCTGCGTGGCGCTGATTATCGCGCGCAGATAATCGGAAAATACATACCGCTGCATGCCACCGCATACGACATTCGCATTTGGACAGTTGTGTTGACGTGCAGAGGCGACATTCGGCGCATGCCAGAAATACCCCTAGCATTCTGTGGATCGCTGTCTTTGCTAGTATCCAGTTTAAGCACAGACAAGACGGAGGGAGGGCGCTACGAGGTGACCTGGGACCTCGAATCCTAACCGAAGGATCTTGCGCTCGATGTTGGCCAAGGGTTCCCTTAGCTGGCTGACCACCTCTACGGTGACTCCGTCGTTGGGCGGCATAAGTCCCAGTCATTACATTGGAGTAGCCAGAGTGATATGACTTTACCCGGTTGGTCCTTTTGTTGATGCCCTTGAACACCTCCCCGAACGCGCCCTTGCCGATTTTCTTCTCTTGCGTGAAGATGAGCTCCGGGTCGACCTGAAACGTGTCGCACGGTATCGGTGGCCTGAAGCGTAAGGTGCACGGAATGATCGAATCTTAGTCGCACGGTATCGGTGACCCGAAGCTTAAGGCGCACAGGGTAATCGAATCTCAGTCGCACGGTACCGGTGACCTGAAGCGTAAGGCACAGAGTAATCGAATCTTAGTCGCACGGTATCGGTGGCATGAAGCGTAAGGTGCACGGAGTAATCGAATCTTAATCTGTCAATTCGATGCCCATGAATGAGGATATTTCGATGTTCACAAAATCACGATTGACTAAAGGACTTGATACGCCGCAGACGACGGCGGACTAACGCTCATTGTGCAAACAAGAACGTTAAGTTACAAGAGCCTGTTAGTCTGCCGACTTCAGACTTAACAGCAGGGTTGGTAGCCGGGGAATTTAGAGACGTCTGAACGAGACGTGATGTCAAAACTCATGTCCACAGGGGGAGACGCCCCAAGCAGCCAATCATTGACATTCGGCACGCTGACTTAAATCTGAGTGCGCTCCACTTTGGTCGACCCGGCTGCAGCCCAGAACACCGGCGTAAACGATGGCCAAAACACACGAATCCAGACGGTCCCCTCACAGCCCGAACACCAACTAAAAATGCCGAGCAGAACAGTATGGAGTGAGAGCAATGACGGTCCTAAGCCAGCTTGTTTCGGGCTTGACTGAACTGAACCCCCACTTTGTCACTATAGTCAAAGAACTTCTCGCGCGCGGATCTCAAAGTGCGGAGGGAAAGCGGTGCTGCTGTCGCCTGGCCGCCGTACTCTTTACAACGCGTTGCCTCCAGGTCCGTCGGCGATATCCACCGAACAGACCATTCTGTACGTGTATCACCGTTACGTTTGCGACATCGCGCAGTCTTTTAGCAGGCTCTTTTTAGTTGTTTTTTTTAGCGAACGTGAAACTCGCTCAGCTCTCACCCCGACCGTTGTTGAGGAGCGGGCACTGTTGCGTGTGTCCACTGAAGGCTGACTCTCAGCTGCCTGGGGGAGTCCTATATTAGTCGACCCGGGTAAGGGCTGGAGCGAGGCGCTCCCTCTGCGCGCTGTAGCTGAAGCCGCCGCACCAGCACACCTTCACATGGTGTCAGTGGTCCTCACCTCCACGTCTAACCGTGGAGGTGAGGAGTGTACGGCTGCCGGTCGAGCTAGACCTGACGACATCGAGGCAGGGCAGGCAGACAAGCGGTCCTGTCGTTGGGTAGGAACGGCGGCGGGACTGTCGGCAGCACGCCGCAGCCCGGCATCTCGCCTCCCAGACGGCGGGACTATCGGCATCCCGCCGCAGCCCGGCATCTCGCCTCCCAGGCGGCGGGACTGTCGGCATCCCGCCGCAGCCCGGCATCTCGCCTCCCAGGCGGCGGGACTGTCGGCATCCCGCCGCAGCCCGGCATCTCGTCTCCCAGGCGGCGGGACTGTCGGCATCCCGCCGCAGTCCGGCATCTCGCCTCCCAGGCGGCGGGACTGTCGGCATTCCGCCGCAGCCCGGCATCTCGCCTCCCAGGCGGCGGGACTGTCGGCAACCCGCCGCAGCCCGGCATCTCGCCTCCCAGGCGGCGGGACTGTCGGCATCCCGCCGCAGCCCGGCATCTCGCCTCCCAGCCGGCGGGACTGTCGGCATCCCGCCGCAGCCCGGCATCTCGCCTCCCAGGCGGCGGGACTGTCGGCATCCCGCCGCAGCCCGGCATCTCGCCTCCCAGCCGGCGGGACTGTCGGCACCACTCCGCAACCCGGCATCTCGCCTCCCAGGCGGCGACCACACAGCATGCTGTTTCCTTTAGCAGTGCCGGCCGGACAGTGCAAGAGGTGGTGTCGCGTTTTGAGTGGACGCGGGCTGATGGCCCGCCACACCTGCTGGCTCACTTCGATCGGCTCTTCGGCCCACGACAGGACACTGCACGCGAACGATCTGAGTTCTACTCTCAGCCCAGCAGACCGCACAGTCCATCACCTCCTCCATGCCGACCCTACAGAAGCTCGTCGCCAACTGTGAGCTCCCGGAAACTCTCAGCATGAAAAGGATTGGCTCTGCCTGGCCGGCAGCGATCAGGCCGTTCAGCGGGTTTCTGGAGTTCGTGGACGTGCACACAGTCGGCGTCTGAACCTGCATACGTTCAGATTCAAGGTCGGTGCAGTTGGGTGGGTGGGTTAAGTCATATCATTAGTGGCAGTGGGTTGCACGCGGACCCCAAAACAGCACAGGCGACAACTGACCTCCCTACTCTGACGTCAGCAGTGGGGCTAATAGATTTATCGGCGTGCCATGCTATCTGTCGCGTGTTGTGCAGCTTTTTCCTGTTACCGAGCTTCCTGCTGAATGGTACTGGCGTGCCACCAGACGTACTAGCCGGTACTGTGCCAACTCGTTTCTGCGCCCGTCTGGCGCTATTATGCTCTGCGTCTCGAGGCAACGGTACAGTGTCATGCAAGCATGATGGGCCGGGATGTGGTGCTCCTTCAGGTGGAGCATCCAGTCACGTGCTGTTCCTGCGTTCTCACACAGGCAGAGCGGTCCTATTCTCGGACTGCGAAGGGGCTGTTACTTTCAGACTTCGGCTGGGCTATTACTTTCGCCATGACACGGCTAGACCAGTTCGTGAATGGCCGTCCGGTGAGAGTCGAGAGTGATCACAAATCCCTCGCGACCGCTCAGACAAAAGTTCTCGTTGACGCACTTCCGCGAGTGCAGTGAATGCCACTCACCAATCGCGAGCAAGCCGGGCACGCTCATGCGCGTGTCGGAGACGCACTGAGTCGAGCCGCCAGAACGCGGGCGCAGACGGCGTTTGCGGCGCAGGTGGCGAAGCTCCGGGTCTGGCGAAGCTCTAGTTCTGGCGAAACTCTGGCTCTGGTGAAGCTCTGGCTATGGTGAAGCTCTGGCTCTGGCGAAGCTCTGAAGCTGGTGAAGCTCCAGCTCTGGCGAAGCTCTGGCTCTGGCAAAGCTCTGGCTCTGATGAAGCTCTGGCCTTGGCGAAGCTCTGGAGCTGGCGAGGCTCCAGCTCTGGCAAAGCTCTGGCTCTGGCGAAGCTCTGGCTCTGATGAAGCCCTGGTCTTGGCGAAGCTCTGGCGCTGGCGAAGCTCCGGCTCTGGCAAAGCCCTGGCTCGGGCGAAGCTCTGGCCTTGACGAGGCTCTGGCTCTGGCGAAGCTCTGGCTCTGGAAAAGCTCTGCAGTTGATGGGCTGACTCAGCGGGAGTCGTGCCGGCATTGAAGGGATCCGTGCATTCTCCCCGTTCCTGGCAGAGCCGACCGTTCCAGACGGATTGGTCTTCTAACAAAAGTGTCTGGGCGCCCTGCAGAGCCGGCAGTGGGGCGTCGTGACTCGCGTCCATCGCATCCATGCAGGGCTGGCTTCTGTGCTATCACGTAAGGGCATTATCCGGCTTGAAATGTCCTCCGCTCTAAGACAGCCGATCCCGCGGTGTCCGCCGTGCCCTAACACATTGTCGGGCACAGGCCCGCTAATGCCTCATGGTATGCCCAGCCGCTCATGACATAAGGCGGGCGCTGACCCGTTCGAGACGAACGGTGCCGTGACACCGCGCGCCATGCACTTGATGACACTGGTTGATTATATCAGCCACTGTTTGGCAGATGGACCCTCTATGTCAGCCGCTCAGATGGTCCGGCGTCCTTATGTCCACTCTGTCCGCTGTCGCCTACAGGAGGCACTCATCGCCGACAGCGGGCCTCGGCACCTCGGTGTCAAATGGAAAGCGTTTGCTCCACATTTGGCCACTTAACACCGAGCATATAACCTGACTTACTCGGCAAGGTGCTGAACGGCAATGTGGAGAGCGCGATTCGCATGGTAAAAGAAGAAAAAGAAACATCTGGAAGAAAGCACTTGCCTCTAGATAGCAGCTCTTGTGAGTCATTCTCGCGCGGAGAGGCGCACCAACTGAGGGAGGCGACCTGCCCCCGCCCAGCTGCTGTCTGGACGCGTTTGTTGTTCCCCGCTTCTACATCTCTGATGCATCTCTGATAATCTACATCTCTGCTCGCTCCACTCTGACACCGGGTACTCCAGTTCATGCCCGGGCTGCTGTGGTGGGTGTGAAGGCAAACGGGCGACGTGCTGCAATCAGGACACCCTCGTGCTGGATCACAGCCGGTGAGCCAGCTCAATCGTGTCCGCCAGGACGGCCGCCGTGATCTCAGGATATCTGTCAGCTGGAGCTCCAAGCGCAGTCGGCTGCCCAGTCTCACCCAGCCAGCAGAGCCAGCAGCTCGTGTCCGCTAGGACGGCCGCCTTGATCTCAGGGTATCTGTCGGGTGGAGATCCAAGCGCAGTCGGCTGCTCAGCCTCACCCAGCCCAGCCATCGCCCTCCGGTGCCACCGCTCCGATCCGGGTCTTCCGTCGCCACCCGGGCGGTGAGGTGTGAAGAGACACCCACAGCCGTCGGCTCAGACTCGCCTGCTACTGCCTCGCCAGGACCCTCCGTCTCCATGTCGCTGCGTCGATTAGTTCAAGTCTCGCACCCGTCTCATCACTGGGCAGGTGTTGCGCCGTAACCGTTGCTCGTTATTTGATGCCGTGTTATGTGTGTGTGTGTGTGTGTGTGTGTGTGTGTGTGTGTGTGTGTGTGTGTGTGTGTGTGTGTGTGTGTGTGTGTGTGTGTGTGTGTGTGTGTGTGTGTGTGTGTGTGTGTGTGTGTGTGTGTGTGTGTGTGTGTGTGTGTGTGTGTGTGTCTGTGTGTGTGTGTGTGTGTGTGTCTGTGTGTGTGTGTGTGTGTGTGTGCGTGTGTACGGAGTACACCGAATATCCCGTGCCACTTGGCGACCATCTATATTGCCACCATCTGCTCGTGTATAGGGAGAGGGCCGTTGACACGCCCTTAAAACCCATCAGCTGACTGACTCAAATAATTGCGCAGCTTATTGCCGAAAACCTAATGGCGGTCCAATCACTGACTATCAAGATATCAGCTCGTCAGAGACGTTACTGACTGCGGCGTCGGGTTGGGTCGGATTGAGTCTGCCCGGCTCGCGTGCTTGCTTGGCTGGTGGCCTCGTACGTAGTAATTAAGTGTCAGATTTCTGTCGAATTTGTCCAAAAACCCTGCCATTTTTTCTGAAGTGCCGTTTTTCCATCCAATTTATGCGGTTCTAAAATGACACTAGTACAACGAAAATGAATCAATCACGCCGCACCCGGTCGTATTCATCACGAGGATTAGAAAGGTGCAGGCGTCTTGTTTCCATCGAAAGGAGGTACGTATTTCGTCAAGAGGCTCAATTTTTTATTCGCCACCTCCGTGGTCTGGGGCAAAATGCTAAACTCGTTATGCGGTGGCTCTGAACACGACTCCTAGCGACGGGCACGCTACTCGACTCTGCTCACATGGAAAGATCCACTGACCATCGGCCAACGAGACCCAACCCAGGCCCGGGGCGGCCGTGTCACAGCATTATGGGCCACGTAAAATGGCACGCAGTCCTGTCTGATGAAAATGAAAGGGCGGAGAAAAAATACTCTGCTGAACTCTAAGGCATGGTTGGGGGCAGGGGCTCAGCGCATGCGCGGTACGTTTTGCTTAGCAGATACTCTGGGTCCGAAGCTGCTCATGCAAGCCACTCGCAATACCAAATACGAAGAAAGCAGCTCAGCTGTTCTTGGAAAGTCAATTATCGACTGTCTCGAATTTATATTGTAAGCGCAACTTTAAGATACTTGAGGACTCGCCATACCGCGCCAGACAGCAATATTACCCCGCGATTAGTGCTGAGTAGTAACACATCCCAAGTGCCCAGCTTGCACGATGCACTCGCTCACGCTGAAGTGAGGCTTAATCGGCCGCGTCCGAAAACAAAAAGATGGTATGCATAGAGGATGCGAGATATGTTACTCCAGCTGATTAATCAAATAACAACTTCATCTCGAGCCATTTACGACAAAGACCGGCTCGCAAACATTCACTAGTAGATTTTCGTCCCTAAAAATCGGTCGGGTATTCTGGGATGCAGGTGAAGAGGATTGATGTGCTTGGAAATACAAACTGATTAGTTTTGCTCTATGAATGTAATATGTCGTGCAGGTAACCAACGAGCTAAAATGCGTGATACAAAACGACTTTAGAAAACAAACGCGCCGAGGAGGGCAAAAGAGAAATAACAACTTAACTAATTTTGCTAGATCCGAAGGAGCTGCTTTCTTTTCCGCGCTAGTGCCCGGGCGTTCAAGCCGGCCATATGATGATCAAGATAACCGGTCTTTTTACCCGTCGTCTCTGCAACTACGACTTACCCCCGTGTTCTCGAACTTACCTCAGTGCTCTCCAACTTACCTAAGCGCTCTCGGACTCACCTCAGCGCTCTCTTCCTCGGTTTCGGCTGGAGACGTATTGCGGAAACGTTTCCCTAGTGACCACATGGTGCGTGCCTGAGTTCGACGCCGCCGTCAAAGTCAGGCCGCGTCAGGCCGGGCGTCCGCGGCAGCACGCTCGCTGTAGCCGACAGAGGTGTCAGACCCGGCACGGGCACAGCGGCAGCGCCACGCTGCGGTCTCAAGAGCGCCTGTCGCAGAGGACCGGCTCAGATAAGGCCTGTAGGACCCGACGCACTAATTCGCTCGGCGGCGTTCGGCCCCGCGCACCGCTCTCAGCCCGGCGCGTCCGCGCGGTCAGCCGGCGTCACAGCGGCACACTGGCTCGGCGCGGCCGGCACACGAGAGGCGTGGCGGGACCCGGCGCTCACGGGACCCTGTGGCTGCTATCGAAGAGCCGGCGACTCGACCCGTGCCAGCCGGCGCGCAGATAAGATAGACCGGTGATAGCCGAGCGCCGCTGTGCAAAGGCGTAACCCGGATGAAGCGTGCGCCCTTTCGTGCAGGCGTGGTGTCCCCGGAGCGGTGCTGAGACACTGGGTGGGTCGGGAGGACTGATCCTGGATTTTTAGCCATGGGCCAGGCGCGTTCAGCTGTAATGCCCGTTTCGGTTTCATTACGATAGAGATGAGACTCCGGTTTGGCTAGAGAGGTGCAGTCGAGTCGAGTGCAGCCGAGACGCAGCCGAGCTAACGTGACCACGTATTAAACGTGCATAATGCATAACGAATCCCAGCGTCCCGTCCACCAGAATATTTTTCGAATGCCAAGTTCGCCATGCGATGATGTGCCTCCGCCGGGATTTACAGTCAATCGGCTGTCTCCCAGCACGGTGTTGTACCCGACACTGACCGCCAGGTGGTCGCCAGTGCCCCACGGTATGAATACCCCTTCCACGAAAGGTTAGAGTATGACGTGCTTATCTGCGACGTCAGGTTCAGGGCTGGACGGTGGCGCGTTGCATCATGTAGGAATGCACCACACAGTCATGATGGGCTCCTGTGACATTCAAACGCACACAGATTAAGCCCTTTAAAGCTTTGATACCAATGTTTTGAATGTATGAATTTCTGCCATCAGACCTCACGCTAAGCACGGGTTTTGTGTGATTGCCAACCCCTACCAACCGATCGCGCAATTGCAGGTTAGCGGCAGACTTTGGCGGTGAACGGTTAACGTGCCGCAATGTTCGGCACAGTCCGTCGTGCCCCCTGACGTGACCTGACCCTGAGCACGGGCGATTCCGCCGGGCGAAGGACATATCTGTGAAGGGAAAATAGCGAGCGCCTGGGGCGGCTCGAGCCCACCCCGCCACGGGTGGGTGGATCGGTAGGTGAACGCGGTAATCAACTGAGCGGACGACATCAGCGATGCATTACATCACGTATAGAATTTGGCAGATAAATCATCTTTGCGAACAACGTTAGCCGGGCGTGCCAAACGCTCACGTGATCCAGTGTGCTGACGAAACCCAAATTTCTTATCCAATATCGAAAGCAACCTTCCTTCCCTCACTCAGCGCATGGAAACGACCTTGTTTCCCACTGCGTCATGATCCATGCCCACGCTCTATAGCTCAGTGCCTCCAAAAACGAGCTCCTTCCCCCTTGCACCAAACAGAGCACCCGCGAACTTACCCCGCCAGTGTATGGGTCGGTGGGGAAACCGTGCAGGAGAGCCAGACCGTAAACATACTTGGGAGTGCTACCTGGCCACCACCTGAGCTGGGACGCATACGGCAGTGATGCAGTCCAGGCGTGCATCGGCCTCCTGATCGGTCTCCAACGCCTGAGACACGTCCTTCCACAACGAGCGACACTGGCCGTTGTGCAGGGTCTAGTCGTCTCGCGCGTGAGATACTGTGCTTTAGTTTTTGACCAGCGTGTCAGTTGTTAACGACACCCGACTGCTCAAAAAGTCAAGTCCACTTTCAGAGTAGCTATGGATTTCCAAAAGTATGATCACGTGTCTCGCACGCGGGATGACCTGTACTTTGCCACGCCTCGCCAAATGTGTGACATGCAAACTGTTATCCCTCCGCACAAAGCCCGTGAGCGAGGTGAGCCTGCGGATTTCGCCTGTGTATTTCACACATACACCGACGCGCGGACCTACGGACCGCCCTACGAGTACGGATCGAAGCTTGCTTCTCCCGGCGGTGCGCACGGTGGCAGGACAGCGGTCTTTCGCACACCGCGCAGCCTATCTCCTGAACCAGTTGCCGTTGGATGTAGGACGACTGGATCCAACAAATTTTAAGTGCGTTGGCAAGCCATTCTTTTTACGGTAGGGTTGTTTCATGCCGTCTATCTATGCATGTATTTCTATGCTTTCCTTCCTTGTCACCTTCCGTTGTTTTTGGCCCGCTGTTTTACCGGTATGACAAATAACACGCAACAGCCACGCATTTATGTGGGGTGTCATCTGATGCCAATTATCTCCGTGTGGGGTGAGCCAGACGCACACGTCGTCCGGTGTCATGGCGAGCGCCAGGAACATGAAGCCGGGTGGGTGACGTCCCGTGGCGCGCGGACACGGTAGCTCGGCCCATCGCCGCTGACAGGCGTGGCGGCTCCGGGACTACAACGCCGCTGACGAGTGAGACGGTACTCATCTGCGGGTACCGAGTCAGACCCGGAGCCAGCAGCATCCCACCTTGCCTCAAACAGAACCATTGCTGTAGTCCGGTGAGCATCTCTGCCGATTTATTATATTCATGTCATTTGAATGACAACACTAGGTCACACAGACAGGTGAACTCGCAGCGGCGCAGCCAAGGGAGGGGCCCGAGACTTAGGCCCGGACTTACGTTCTTCACCACCATGGCTTCTGATAGAAAGTTAGAGGTCGGTGTGATGTGTTCTCATCGAGCCCCTCCCTGATAACTTAATGGCTACGCCCCTGCATACTTATGTTAGGTACACACAGTATTGATATGCATGCGCTGTGCATACTTACATCGCCTATGTGCGTGCATCACATATACACGCAAATCAGAGTTATATGTTAGTCATACGTATACGCACATCAGAGTTATACGTATACGCAGTCTTTGTATGTCCTCTACTCTGAGATGCCTATTTTCCATGATTCTAAATGTTCTTGCAACGTAATTTGTTCACCGTGTTATACTCTTGGGACGTTCCGCCGTCAACAATACGCAAAATGCTTGCACGTTGATTTGGCAAGCGTGGGATGGACTAGTCTGTTACAAATGCCTCGGAAAAACCCTTTCCATGAAGTGTCCTCAAGCACTTCGTCCCAACGCACCGCGCTCCGGATTCTTGTTTGGCTTTGAATTATACAATATGTTTCATCAATTTCATTAAAAGTGTAGAATTAAAACTTAAATTCACCTGAAGAGGACTAAATGTCTGTCTAAATGAAGTGAGTTCTGTGACATGTAATTAAATTGGAATTTGAGACCAACGCCAACATTACGCCATGTAGCTTTAACATATTTTACTCGCATTCGCACCACTGCAGACGTGGAAAGGTGTGATCAAGTTAGGCGAAAGCGATTCTAAGTGCTTTAAGCTCGTGAGGTTGGAAATGCTTGAAAGTGCTCGCATCGATGCATTTTCATTTACCAATAATCTGAAAGCCAACGGTACAGCAGATGTAAAACATTATACAATATTGATGCTCCGCTTATGTTAAAGCATCGGCGTGAAGACAACAGATTCGGATGCCTCACCACTGTTCCCGGTGCTGGATTGCAAAAGGTATGGGTGCAAGACATTGCAACATCCATGTTCCGGTATTACTCGCAGTGCAAACAAGCACTGGGCGGTGGGGGGATGAAATATGCGGCGGAGACCTGGCCTGGAAATAACATTTTTGAATGAGTTAACATAAAAACATGCATTTTACAAGCAGAACTACCAGGAAAATATCAATGCCCGAAAACTGAAGTAGACAATGTCTCTTCCAGCTCCCTTCCCCTCCTCAGGGTCGGCACCCATGCTCCTTGATACCGGGAGCGTGAGGGTGTACCAATTTGACGGCCCCAGAAGCTCCATCCGTCTGAACAACAAGCATTTCCAGCCTCGCTTTTACTCCACGTTAAATATGGCAAGGTTTCAGCAAAATCAACGCCGTCCTGGCGAATTATCGCCATGTGTGGTGCTGACATCTAAAGGCTTGGGATGGTGGCTATCATTACATATGCCAGTGGTGGTTCAACTATGACGAGAATATATTGCCGGTGCGTTGTTGTTGTTGTCATTGGGCTTAACGACGCACCCATCTGCTGAGGCTATACGGTGTCGCCTGCCTCTCACCCTGGCAGGAAGGGCGGGCACTGCGGGAATCGAACCCCGTACCTCTGGTTTCCCAGACGCGCAGTGGTTAACGTAGACGCGTTTGGAATAAACTTTTAAAAATAGCTGGCTTCAAGTACACCTAGCGGTCGCTAGCCTGGCCAGCCAGATGGACTGCCGACATCGACGCTGGCACCAACGTGCATCTGGCGAGAGCCTGGCGTGCATGTGATTGAGTTCTAGCCGTTATAGGGACGCGACCTGGCGGGAGCCGAAGTGCGATCCAACAGGCGTCAGCCTTACGCCAGTCAGTCGTCGGTCTTAATTTAACGGGTGTGCGGCCAGAACGAAGCGGTGTTAGGTGAGACCTGGTGAGCACCTCGAGCTCTTCGTTAGCGTGCGTCCGATCTCGACCAAGCGTCACTGAGACACTCGCCAGCTGGAGAAACCGCTAGGCGTCTGGAAGGGGTCATGCGTGCGCTGCACCGCGACCCAGCCAGGTGTCCTGGTGAGGCTTAGAGTGTGCCAGGGGGCGAGCCAGAAAATGCTTCCTTGAAGCCTAGTCCTGTGCGCTAGGGCAGGACCGAGGCCGCGTTGGGACAGACTCTTCAGGGTCAAACGGAGACCTCACAAGCGCCGGGAGACCTAGGGGATGCCGGGCTTGACCTGGCACGCTTCGGGCCTGGGCCGGGCTGCGGACAGCCGGCCCAGTACGGCCGTGTAAGCCGTGTCGAACGCGTGGAACACGGAGACGACGGAGAGGCCGAGCATGAGGCCGATGATGCCGCCGGCCTCGCCCAGCAGCGACGACAGGGTGTAAGCCCACTTTTCGTTATGCAGCTCCACCCGCGGACTCAGATACTGCACCTGCAGGACGAACTTGCCGCCGTAGCTGGGGAAAAACGACGCCACCTTCTTCATCATGGTCAGGACCCAATTGAGGTTTTCGCTGGCCATGGAAGGGCTGAACAATAGCTGGCGGCAGGGGGACGGGCAGAGGGCGTTACACTCGGACATCGCAGACTTGGCTGCGGCAGGCGACGTGAACGCCGTCTGCACCGCC